CTCACGCAAAAAAAAAAACCCCCCCCCCCCCCCCCCCCCAATACACAAAGGAGGATGCATGGGCTGTAGACTGACTTGCTGGAAGGAGAACAATGTGGTGTATCACTGTCATAAGGATGTGTGTGGATGCAATGAATGCCACAGAACTATGCAGTACATTCACACAGCCAAGTTAAATTTAAAGTTATTGCCATTTTAAGAAATTCCTCCACAAGAAAAATCTTTCAAACAACATACGGCAGATGCCTGTACAGCACTGACAAAGTGAAGTGCGGCATTCCACGAATACAGAGGAGACGATCAACTATAAGAAACGATTACTGCGCAAATAATACGTTACTTAATACTGCATACTTCTCACGTTGGACGCAGGAAATCAAAACAGCTCTGCGGAACACAACATTTTTAAGCAGCAAATCACAATTGGAACACTTTCTGTGGTCGAGTGAACATGCTGATTAAACTCACCTTCGTAAAACCGGTTTTGATAATCTTTAGAAAATGAGATTCAACGACCAGCTGAAATTAAGTGGGGAATAATTTCTCTCATATTTTTATCCCTTGCCCCCTTTCTGCCTTTCTCCATTGTCCCTTTCCTCATCAGTTTCTTCCTGCCTTTCTATCTTATTTCTTTCTCATTCCTATTATTTAATATCCACCGCCCACATTAGATGTACTTTTGACAGTGACTTGTAAAATGGAACACTTTGCAATGTAGCATCGTTACTGATCCTTGTAGTGCATAAAATGCGCACACACACAAACATGGTCAATCACAGTCTCTATCCCATTACATATACGAGACTTGGCAACTGGTAATTTAAAAACCACAACATTTAAAAACATTTTTCAACACTAGTCTGACCTACTGACATCATTAAATAAACCACAAAAACAAAAAAAATATACAAATTATTAAAATCACTTTTTATCTATCACTCAAGAAAGGTTTTGTACTTCCATTACATAAATACTGTTCTGTTCTTTTCACAACCTACCATATTACACACACAAGAAATACATGTGCGTGTTGGTGTGCATGCGCACACGTGTATGTAGGGAGAAATGATTTATGAACTTCCTCATGAACAGCTGGTAAAAAAATACTTTCCCATTAAGTTCCATAACATTATCTGAAAATTGTTTAATTCAGTAAACATTTATGCCACTGTCATACCATTTATTTTCATCCATTCAAAATATCTATACAAAAGAGAATATGTCCTGATATTACCATTAATCTTCAGTACAGATTTAGTAAAGAAATCATTTAGAAGATGTCTGTCTTCTGGGTTCTTGCGCTGTGTAGTCTGGTCGATATTAACCAACGTTTCAGAGGTCATACTGCCTCTGAAACGTTGGGTAACATCGACCAGAATACACAGCGCAACAACCCAGAAGACAGATATCTTCATACTCATCGCCCTGTTGACGGAGGCAGTATGACCTCGGAAACGTTGGTTAACATCGACCAGACTATACAGCGCAATAACCCAGAAGACAGATATCTTCATACTCATCGCCCTGTTGACGGAGGCAGTATGACCTCGGAAACGTTGGTTAACATCGACCAGACTATACAGCGCAATAACCCAGAAGACAGATATCTTCATACTCATCGCCCTGTTGACGGAGGCAGTATGACCTCGGAAACGTTGGTTAACATCGACCAGACTATACAGCGCAATAACCCAGAAGACAGATATCTTCATACTCATCGCCCTGTTGACGGAGGCAGTATGACCTCGGAAACGTTGGTTAACATCGACCAGACTATACAGCGCAATAACCCAGAAGACGGAATTCTTCATACTCACCACTGTGAAAACCTCAAATCTTACAAATCATTTAGAATTTAATCTGATGATGCTCCACAGCTCCAGAAGTGGCTAAGATCATCTGAAAGGGCATGTGTCCTGCATATGTCATAGCACGTCAATAGTTTAAAAAAGCAATTTCAGCCTACGTAATCTTACTTTTAATTCTGGAAGTTCTTAATTTCAAATCCCAATTACTAAGTGGATTGCTGATAATATGTTGTAAACAGATGAACACCCTTCCAGAGTGTGCGATCTGATACACAGGTAAATTACTAAAATAGTTCATTAAACTGACAATTTTTATAACATCCGCATTTCTGAGGCTGCTTATGCAATCAAAGCGGCCAATTTAGCTCTGCGTTACCATATCCGATCTGTATTTGAAATGATTCTGTGAAAACAGCAGAAAGGGAAATTGGCTATCCATATTGTTTATGGTTTTCCTCAGTTCCTCCACGAATGTGGAAGTTTCGTACCTTCAAACAAGATACAAATGCTCTTTTACAAATATCTCAAACTTTGACAACAAATGACATCTGCAACTGATAAAGCATCACTATATAATTTACAAACAAAGAAGTCTGATGAATATCGTAAATGAAAGACTACATGCGTTAGATATGAATTAAAATGCATGACACAAAATAAAATGTGCAAAGGCTTCGAGTAACAAAAGTAGCAGAACTTGCTTATGCTTGGCAAAACTTCACGCAGCAGCGTATGCGTAATTTATTCTACGTGAGTACTGGATTATGGGTGAGTGGCAGAGGTCTTTCTGGGAGATTTGCAATTACATATCAGATGTTTCCAGTGTCTTACTGGTGCTTCAGTGATTTAATTAAATACCAAAATGAGGTACGCACTGCACTCTGCATTACAGGGTAAAATTATGAAGAACCCATTCATGCTCAATTAAGTAACTTGTATTGCCATTACCCCCAGATCCTGGTTTCGATGCCGGTTCTGACGGCGGTCGTGGTGGCGCTAAAGACGACGCATCAGATGATTTGGGGACTTCGACAGACCTCCAGTCTTCACCCTCAGCCACCATGAGTGCTATAACAGTTCCTACTTTTATATCTTTAGCATCCTCTCGAACCTGTAGAGTATGACGTTGCAATAGAATGTGTACTCGTCTGTACATCTAAGTACAGTAGTGACCTGAGTAAATAGCACCCCGGTTCATTGTTCATTCAATCACATTACTCACCTTTTATCTCCCACGCTCTTATAAAGGTTCTCTCACCCTCTTACAAACATTTACCTGGAAGTTGGCAACTGAAATATTTGCCAAAATTCTGGAACCCCTTAAACACTCAATGTAGCTTATCCCCAAAAGCCAAAGTTGTACATACACAGAGCAGTTCATCACAAAAGCTACAGTATTGTTATTAGTGCTTCAGCTTGAAAAATGTAGCCACCACATGTTAGTCAGGCAGGAAGAAAGCACTGTACTCAGCACAATTTAAAAGACACGTCCCACAATATTTTAACACATTTACTAACGTCGAAAAAGCGTTCTGCGGTAGTATATGGTACACAGCTGGTATTCAATCATTTTGATAACCCCATCCAAAAAATACATTTCTCAGAATCAAAAGTAGAAATTTAATTGTATATACAGATTTGAGATTCACATATTGGTAAAGATTGTCGTGGTGGTGGGGCTCGAGTACCTCGGTGATCCCAAGAGTTGTGCTGGCGGTAGCATAGCTACTGGTAGGGCCTCCGTAGCCAGATTGGTCGAAGGGGAGAGGTCAGGTACCCTGGTCCTCCAGGTTGGGGGGTTGGTCGCAAGGCTAACAACCTTGCACCGTAAAAACGAAGATGTTTCGAAACCTCGATCAAAGCCTCGGACAGACGGACCTAACAGAGGACTGAATGGAAGAGAACTGAGGAGGCCATGGACCGAATACGGACCGGAGAGCCATAGAAGAAGAAGAAGATATTTGTAAAGATCACAATATTAGTCTTATGGGTTGTAACGGCATGTGAAGTTGTCAGCATTACAACCCATAAGACAAACTATTAAACTTCTGGTTCAAAGTATCATGAAAGTTAAAAAAACCATACATATTGATATGCAGGGAACGTGACAGAATTTGTCTTCTACAGTTCATTTCTTCAACAAACGTAGTTGACAAAACTTCTACTGATGTCTTTCTGCGTGTGCTGGTGCAATGTCCCACCGGAAACACGCACAACTCTTTTCTTCTTGCGTTCACTGCACAAAAATTTCATGTTCTTAGTTCAGATTCTGATGATACCAATTTTTATCAGCAAGGAGAAGGTTTCACGATACCTTTTTGTACCCACACTAGTGTGTTTCCTTCCTCTGTGACTACCAAAATGGCAGGCAGTACTTCGCAGGCCACAGCAATTATAACAGAAATGCCTCTGCATTAAATAAAAAAGAGGACTTCGTTAATTGTCGCAGGACTGACACACCACTAAGAAGAAATACCGCTCTGATTCAGATTAATGTTCCACCAACTCGGCACGATAAATTTAACAACACTTGACAACACGTCATCCAGGCATCAGCTCAAACTACGTCCAGCAACCACCTCGCGTTAAGAGAAGCAAGCTGAGAGAGGACGACAGCAAATTATCTGCACTACGGGCACTAAGTGACAGTTTCCCGTTGTAATTATGCAGACGGTCTACTCTGCCCTGTATTGTTATGTAATGATCAATCGATGGGTACATAAAAATGCAGTGCAGTGTTGCTTCATTTCAAAAGGTACCACACCATGGAGATAAAGCGAGACCCACCAAGAGGTAAAAGCGAGTGACAGGTTCATCTTCATCTGTGGATCAGACCCCTGGAACTAACCAACCCCAAGCAGCAGCAAAGTCCTTTTTGAGAAGCTCAGCATCCTTGAGTTTTATATCCGAAGTTTCACTACTGTGTTCACGACAGCCCACCACCAGTCCATATCCTGCGTCAGATGAATCTAATCCATGCATTTCAAGTCTATTTACCTAAGATCCATTTTCATATTATCCTCCCATTTACACCTAGGTCTTGCCAGTGGTCTCCTCCCAACCAATACCTTGTAAACGCCCCTCCCCCATGCATGCTGCACGTCCCACCCACCTCATCCTCCTCGATTTAATCGCTCTAACAATATCAGGTGAGGAGTGAAGAGCATCGTCATGAAATTTTTTCCATGATCCGTCTTCCTCCCTTTTGGGTCCAAATATCTTCCTCAAAACACTGTTCTCAAAGACCCTCAGTCTATGTTCCTCCCTCAAAGTGAGGGGCCAAGTTTTGAACCCATACAGCACAACTGGCAAAATTACACTTCTGTATATTTTAATATTTTTTTAACATTTTGATTGTTTTTGTTTTTACTAACGCTTCTTGCTTGTTCCAGCCTCCTGCATGTTCTAAAGTTATTCCTAAATAACTGAATTATATATTACCTCTAAACTTTGTCCATTCCTATTCCACCTTCCATTGTTCTTCAGTTTACTTCCATATTTAACCAACGCTATCTTAGATTCACACAAATTACATTCTAAACAATATCTAACTATTCTGTATATCTCCTTCTGTAAACCATTGCTTGCAAATGATGGCACCACAAAATCATCCGTAAAAAGCTAGCAATTCCTCATATCATTGGGGCATGAGGGTTGTCTATATTTATGTATAGTACCATAATCATTTAACCAAGTTTATGGAGCTGAGTTTAGCACTACTCCGTCACAACACCACACATGTCACATGTCCATCGTACCAGATGCTCATTTTTCAGGTATCAGGTACATATAATGCATAAGTTAATGTCACTTTTCATGTTGGAGTTCTGGTCTGTCAAAACATTCCTTCCCTCTTTTTTAAAATTAATTGACCCATTAACATCGGTCTTAACAATTCTGAAACATGCATCTGACTTTCTGATTGTACATGCAGAGAGAGAGGAATTGAAAAGCTTAAAAATACAGCCCAAATTGAATGTCCTGAAGCAAAGCAAATAGTCCAAAGTGTTCAAGAAAACTATAATTTACAGCACTTTTATAAATCATCTTCATGAGTTACATTAATTTATTTTAATCTTATAGGAAAACTGGTGTAGCTCAATGCTATTCCATTTCAACACATAGTTTTCTAGACCTAATTAAGAACAAAAACCTGATATTGTCTGTATATCACTTACTTGGCTAAGTCAGTGTAGTTATTTAAGATACACAATCACAAGCTAAACATTCCACAGTCTGAGCCTTTACATAACCTTCAATTCAACTTAATATTTGACAAACTCCTCATAAGTATCACGAACACTAGTTTAGAAAACAAACAAGATTTGTTATTGTTACTTAATGCACATCTACATACCAAAATTTTTGCAAGAACTCCCTCTTCTTCAGTTTCAAATGAAACAACTGCTTTGTCTGTTTGTATATCACATAACACATCTCCTGGAACAATGGGATCCCCTTCTTTTTTTAACCATTTTACAATGGTTCCGTCTGACATCGTTGGTGAAAGTGATGGCATTTTAAGTTCTTGACCAACAGCTTAAAATAAATGACACATGGTAGTATTAATTCCAAGCAATGTGAACTTCCTGTTACCCTGGAGTCTGATACAATTCCTTGGTACATATTTCAGGCAAAAGCGAGTTTCACTTTGTCATCTTGAAACAACATAAGAGTATTTTATCCATTACCACACAGTAAGTTGCAAATTCTAAAATACTTTTTTTTAATAAAGCTAAAGCAGAACCTATAATAAAGTAACTGGGTGGGACAGCACTCACCATATAAGAAGGATGAGTTGTGGAAACAAACTTTATGCTTAGTTTTCATCGTATGAGATTGTAATAGTAGCGTTTGTACATAGTTTCTTGCAACATTCGCTACCCTAATCCTCATGGCAGCAGCCATTGTCTAGGACGGAATGATTGACCTTCATTATGTTCTCATTGCAGATACAGATGTTGGTAATGCAAGGCAAGCAGTATTTCGAAAGCTTTTAATTACATTAAAATGAATTAACATGTAGCTTTTATTCCCACAGCTGGTTCCCAATATAACTTTTGTTTACTCGGCTCTTAAATAATCTCATGCAACTTCAATTTTCTGCATTATACGAATCTATAAATTTAAAATAACACCAAGATTCATAATTGTTACCAACACAACGGGAGTTAACATCAGCATTACAGAATAACGTTTCTATAAATACTTAAAATGGCATTTAAACAATTAAAAATGTCATACCTGATCAACACATATATACCACGTGTAAGTGGCAACTATATTTTTGTTATGCGAAATAGACATAGCCATTAAACCACACTTCTAGCAGTGAACTGAAGAGAGAGATAACCTAACCATAATTCATATAATTTACCATAATTATTCTGTCGTTATGTACCTTTAAGAATATATACAAAAAGGATTAATGGCCGCGAGAATCATACAGTAATATTTAATACGATATTGTTCTTAATTTCAGCCATGGATGCGTTTAATTCAGCCTTTTAGCGTTGGAACTGCAAATCTGGCTGCAAAGGAAGTACTTCCACGAGAATTTTCTGAACCTAAAATTCCCCCATACACGGAAAGGGTTGATGAACCACTTAAATTAAAAAAAGCACGGTAATTTTAATGTTAAATTTTTATAGTCCTAAATGTGAATAAGGCAAAAAGGCTACTTTTATTTTCCATATTCCACACCATTTGTATGAGTGGCAATCAGTGATGATTATCAAATGAAGCTCGTAACATTAAATTATGCTTATTATGTTTACATTTAATTGTCTAATCCCCATTGTAGTGCAGTGCAGCCTAGCAAGGGCACCACAGTGCAGGAAATTCCTGTAAGAGAATGCTGCCCACAAAGCTCCTCAGAGAAAATCACTGAAAATTGGTAACTAGTTCTGAATAAAAGTACACAATTTGATGAGTGAGTTTCATCTTGTATTGTCACCACTGAATGCAAACTTGTTTTGCGACAGAGACAGTCAATTAATGATATACATTTGATTGGAGAACATATAAAAACCTCAGCCTGTCAGGAAAGATTTCATTTAAAGTTAGAAGACTAACAAATGATCCAGACTTCCTTTAAACTAGAGCACTTATCCAAGAACAAAGAAAGCAACGGATTTAAAGCTCTTTCAACAGTAAATATGTCAATATTAATATTCTGGGTTGTGATGCAATGTTAAATTGCCAGTGCTGAACATGGAGGCAGTATGTTTCTCTGGAACATTTGTGTATATCTGTCTACAAGCCCATACAGTGTCACAACCCAGAAGATGAACACTGATGAAGGAAAGCAAGGCTTTAAGTTCCTTTTCTGAAAGCAAATTTTTTCAAGCAAAATAAGGATGTGAACTTGAGAAGGTTTCTACCTACATTACCTAATACAGTCAAACCATGATATAGCACCCCTTTTGATACCACCATCCTCATACTGGTCCCACAGAAGTGTCAAAACAGTCATTCGCTATGTAACTTCAAAGATAATCCCTCACGAAGGTGCTAACTTTGCTGGCCGCCGTGTGCAAAAACTGTGAAAATACAAATGTACCGTTAAGCATTATAATCAAGTTGGATACATCACCATGCCATTTTGTATCCTCTAGGAATACAGACAACCCCCTGGAATGTTCAGTTGTAATGTACGTCAACAGCTTCTGCATAACAGATAAAATGTACGCAGGAAACCAACCATCTGTAGTTCCATCGAGAGGGAACTGGGTTGTTACTTCGGGTTCACAGTGTGAATGATGACATTTCACATCAGGCAAATACATAATGAATTTTTGTCGAGCTACCAGCCATGTCATGTGGTTTCATGGAGAAAAAATCGTCTCGAGAATCATCTTCGTTCTCAGGGTATTTAAATTAACGTAAGTACCCTGAACCGCCACGGTGGTCTAGCGGTTAGAACGCTGGCCTTGTAATCCTGGGGTCTCGGGTTCGAATTTATAACTTGTGTTGGGCAAGGCCGTGGTCTAGGCAACACGGAGTTTTCCTCCGTGGCATCCCAACAATTACTCCATTCACACACAGAAGAAGGCAATGGCAAACCACTTCTGGATCATCTGCCAAGAACGTATATGAACAGGTCCCAGTCCGAGAAAAGGATGGAAGGATCCTGTTCATACGGACCTGTCGTCAGACAGAACACTAAATAATAATAATAATAATAAGTACCCTGAAGATGAAGGTCGTTTTCAAGACGATTTTTTCTCCATTAAACCACCTGACATGGCTGGTAGCCCGAGAATAATTCATTATACTTGGTCACCATGAAAGCTTCAGATCATACAGGAAAATTCAGTAAATGAACCTGCTTTTGAGAGGAGCCTTGATTTTAAAATAGAAACTTTACGGAGAATATGTAGGATTTGAGGATGTCATGGCTGTGAATGCAAAGATGGCTGCATAAAGTAACAGGTAAAATTCCAAAAAAAATTCTGATAAAACAATTACAGAATTATGAGATAAAATTCTCTGCTTTTAAACATGTTTCAGAAACATTGCTATACTGTGTATTCAGTAACAAACTTCTGTTTCGTTCACAGAATAATTATCCACTTGGTCACGTCCAATTGACACAGTTGACTTTCACGAAATGTGTGTCCATTTACTGTTTCCAAGATTACAGGCTTAAATTTTTCATGAAGTGTTCATGTACATGTCTCGACATCTTGTATCTTGAAACATTGTCATAGCTAGCAGAATATAGTGGCTGGAAATCCCAGAATTTTTGGGATGGTGATTTGTCCCAGGTCATCTTATGTAACAGATTTCAGATTAAAATATAGGTTTTTAATTTATAACTACGTATATTAAAATTAAGTGCTCAGTTCATTTTTCCACATAGTTAAATTATTCGATGCAAGTTTGCACATTTCCTCTTTATTTTACATAAAATTTTGTGATAAAATGGCTGAATCTCCTGCTGCATGGTTGGGAAGTACCAAGTGCATATCCGAGTTCATAATGGCAACAGTTTTCTTCATTATTCTTCGTCGTTCCAGGCCGGTGTTTTGAGAGTATCTTTCATATGTCATGATCATTTCCTATTCCTGTTTCTCTTGACTTGATGTTCACTTTTCTCATGTCTTATTTTCTGGTGGGGCACATACACGCAAAGAAGTCAAACCATTTTTCCAAGTAGGCCTGCATTTTAATTTTGTCAAATACAAGCATCAGACATTTTACAACCAAAGAAACATATTATTATTATTAAGAATTTTTAAGTAAATTTAGCAATATATAAATGCTAACACGAATTTTTTTTTGCAAAATTCTTATTACAATGTATTTATGAATATTAATGCGGATCTTAATGTCAATGCTTGTTTACTTGACTGGCTGAATATTATTTCCTTCCTATAGTTCAAATTCTTTCCTTTTCAGTGAGATAACGTCCATCCTGTATGCTTTCTCTCCAAAGCTCTCTTCCTCGCCTCACCGCTCCCTGTACCAGAAAATTGCCTCCTCAACTGCGACACTTTATTATTGGCAGCATAGCATAAAATATTACGGGAACTAAAAATCATATTCTCCACTACATTCTAGAACACTGGAAATGTTGAGTTAGAAACGTGTTCTGTGACGTATGTAAACAACGGTAATATGTGAGTTAATCGGAAAGCCACATCAGTGAGTTGGTAGTGTCATTAAATTATGTAATCTTTGTGGTCATCATCCCTTTATGAAGTGTCATGTACTTTTATACCTGAAACGTGATCACCATTTTCGAATGTAACCTGCATGTCTCTATGGAATTTGTAAATATATGTTTCAGTCTCCTCTACCAGTCACGCAAGAGAGGAATGCTTGAAAATGATCTCTTGCTAGCAACTTTTGCAGCCAAGTACCTTCAAAACATGACAGCGGAGCAAGTTAAATTGTACGACCGCCTTATCAACTTACCATCTAATGACTGGGACATTTTCTATTGGGCTACAGGAATTAAACCTACACCAGCTGAATTTGACAATGAAATTATGCAGTTATTGAGGGATCACGTTCAAAACAAGGACCGAGAGTCTAGGATTCGGCAACCTAATTTGTATGCTTGATAGCCATTGAATGTTTTACAAATGCAAAATGTAAATGTCACCTAGGAAAACAACACATCATGTATAATAAATTATTCTCAGGCTACCAGATATGTAAGGTAGCTTAATGAAGAAAACGCCAATGTTTTGAGAACCATCTTCATCCTCATCCTCAGGGTACTGTAGTTGTAGGAGATTCCTGGATGTATGATTAAAAAGAAAACAAAAAATGAAGGGGTTCTCCTATAATTACAGTACACTGAGGACAAGGACGAAGATGGTTCAAGAAATGTTGTTTTCTTCATTATGCCACCTTACATGGCTGATAGCCTGAGAATAATTTACTATAATTAGTCGCAGTGAAAGCTCCAGATCATAAGACAAATCATGTAGATAACATTGATTAATTGAATAGTACATGAAGACTGTTAGATGTAATGAATTATCAATAATTACTGCTGTGTTACATTATTCATGTGTTCTTAAAAAAAATACTAGTGTTTTTTCTTTGATATAATGGGATCATTCTTCCAATAATATTAAAGCATTCACAAGTCTGTTTTGAGTGATGTGTACATCTAATATATAAGTGAACCTGTTACTCATTTATTACGTATGAAAATTTGTAAGGGAGAACTTATATAAGTAAAGATACAAATCTTAAAACAGACGAATGTATGAAAGTAACAGGATTACCGCTTTATTTTTCATATTTTGCTTCTACCAGACTACACGGCGCTCTCAAAAACCTTACATGCTACTTAGTTTGCATATAAAAATTGCTAATAATGTTCAAAAAACAGTTTTTTTTGCGAAATTTGTATTTTGAAATATACCCACATGAATTAGTAAACAAATATTGTCTGTACACATATAACATAATAGGTTACGTCTCGAATATTTTCATACAAGTAGGAGTATATATATATATATCGATCACGCATAAGACACAGCTGGAACAAACTGCCTGTTCGATACCCATTTCAAAATTACAATTGCCGCACTAGGTATCATACTGGCACTGGATCTACAAGCAGTGAAATAATATTTGTTTCATTGGTAACACTGCTGAATATGTTGTGGTACATGGAATGTATGTTGTAGCGTACGGTATTGGTTGTTATGGCAGCATTACTTAATAATCACATGTTTTGATTTCTGGAAATAGTATTTATGTGTCATGTGAGACGGCGACCCGGGAATAAAAATGGTGACTTTCATTCATCGTGAAACTGCTGATCAATAAAGTGTTTCAAATTCGAATATTTGCTGGCCTGCTAACCTAGTACAGATCTGACCAAAATCATGGATGCACGAGTAATTATATTTGAAGCACGTAAGTAGATTATTTGTTTACTTGAAAAGATTTTGTTGCTGTTGTTGCAATTATTATTATTACTATATAGGGTATGTACTTCGAAGTACCCGAGACAGACCTTGTCCTTAAGGTACATAGTGCAGCAGCTATTTCCTGAATACATATTGTTTTTAATGTATGTTACATGTATTATATAATTTTATTGTTAGATATTATTATTTCTATGTTCAGTGTTAGCCCTTTGATCAAAAACAGTCCTGCTAGATGCGCATCAGTTGCTAATGTTGTCTGCAGGGACTTGGACATATTCGAGACGAAAATTGTCACACTTCTTCACATTCTATAATAGTATATTTATTTAATTGATTTTAATTATTTTTCAAATAGTTGCAATTTTCTTGTGTACTAATGTATTGTATATTCTGCTTGTTTTACCTTTTATGTTTTTATTGTGTTCGTGTGCTCATCTCTGTGCTGTATCTGTAATTGGCCTTCTGGCTGTTGATACAGCACATTAATAATAAAGAATTGAATTATTTTCTGTTACTGTTCGACGACTGGGGTTCAAGTCCCGACAGGGTCGGTTGTGTTTCTCTTTGCCGCAGAGTTCAGCCAAACTATGAGGTTCATCCAGTGCATACAGCGGATAAAGCGACTGTTATGAATCATATCGAACACCGCCACTACCCCCACGTGCCGGTATGGTACGTGAATAGGTCTAACCTTCTGTTATCTTTGCCTAATGACCTTAGTGTCAAAATTTACCACTCCCAAGTTTTACATATTTGATTGTGACCTGAAAATAATTTTGAGAGAGACGGTAATTGAAGACCAAATGTCTACAAATTTATGTTTGTTCGGTCAGATGCGATGTTGCGAAAACTATATGGAATTTAATATTTATAAAATAATTTTTGCAACACGTAATACTACTACTA